CTCTTCCTTTCCTGCATAATCAAAGCATTGCTGTTTGAGCCTGAAATCCTTTCTGAGTGGAAGCTGTTAAATCATACACTTGCTTTTTCTCTGTAAAGCTATTGCACGGACAGGTAGCTTGTCTGGTAACTTGGGAATGTACTAACCCATACTGCATGGGACAGGCTGTGTGCCGAGGTGGGGTTTGCTGCTGTTGCTGTTACTAAGGGTTCTGTAATGCATGTGCCACGAGGTCACTCCTGACACTTCCAGTTTGCATGCACAGGCTCCTTCAGGCATCTCTGCCTCCTCTGTCCCAGGACACTTCTTGTAGATTCCGTGCATTCATTTTCACCACCCCCATTACTTTTTGCAGAACTGTCTGTCTTTTCCCTCTTAAAAGGCCAGTGCCTGTGGTGGGGGCAGGGAGGAGGACAAGGTGTGGCTGTTGGCCGTGTTTACTATTAATGATAGTTGTAGAAGCGAAGGGCTGTTAGCTGCGCTCTCTTGCTCTTTCTCCCTCCCACCAACAGTAGCAACTGAAGAGCGTGCAAGAGGCAGTAGGGTGGGCTGCTAAAAACTCCTGTAGTGTTGGTACCGTGTGACTAATCTGCATGCTGTGCAAAACTAGAACTAACCCCTAGCACATCGCTTGGGTTTTGGCAGGCTCAGAGAATCAACTTGAACTTGTCATTTGAAAATGGCAGAAGAACTTCTAGGTACTCTGGGAACATTCCGTCTGTGCTGTATTGCTTTGTGACATTGGCGTGGACTGTATGGCATCCAAAGGCTGTAAATAATCAAGCTGGAATTCTTTTGTTTTTATCTGTAAGGTGGCAGATACTGTTTTTAGCAGTAAGAAGTATTTCTTATTTTTAGGCTTATTGTAATTTTAAAGCTGTCTTTCATGACAAAAATTCCATAGTTTTTTAATTCTTTGTTGTGTTCCATACCATCCTTAATTCCACCAGAATCTAAAGAATACTCATTCGGCTACATTTCTCTCCTCAGTACTTGGACCTTCCATTGTCTCCATCTCCCATCCACGCACTGACCTTTTTAACATCCTCCCCTTCCTGCTGCAAGTTGTCTTCAAGTCTGTTCCACAGCATTTTTAGATAGTGTGGACATTAAAGTACGTGCCGTTGTAATTTAAAAGTTTTGAGCTACAAATTCAATGGCTCTAGTACTTGCCATTCACTAGTGAAATTATTTAAAATCTGTTGCCCTAGGATTTCGTAAAGTTCCCGCAAGGTATGTCAGTTCTTGGTTTTGTATCCTAGTCTTTCCTCTGGCTTTGAGATTTGTTAACTGTTAAGCCTGAAACTTACTACATCTCCCTGTCCCAAGATCTTCAAGGAAGCACTGAAACACAAGTCTGCGCATAATCTTCTTGCGATGGATAGTTTAATAGCTAAATAAATTCTCTATCTTGCCGTCAGAGCCATCACTGAACTTTTTTTTTAGTATCATTCCCCTGCTCGGGGAAATTTTCTGGGGTTACTGAAAATTCACATTACTCTGCATTAACCCTTCAGTGTTAAATTTTTTTTGCAACATTGATTAGATCTTTCCTAGTGACACCTACGTATTTTAGTCTGATATTGGCAAGGAGGCCCCTTAAAAGATTTCCACCGTGGATGCTGAATGTACTGGCATTTAAATCTTAAGGGGCCGTCCTGCTGTGAAAAACCGTAAGCGAAGAGGAGAATACGGAGTGTGTGATGCTATTTGGACAGTTTCACCTCATCTAACAATGTCTGAAGTGTTGCTCAGACTCTTCACTACTGCTGTTCTAACGGTAACAAACAGCCGTGCGTTACCTTCATCAGCAAGTGGTGTGCAAGGGACAGCTTTCTTTGTAGCAATTTTACAGCTCTGGGATTGGTCCCATAAATTGTCTGCATTTAGTTTTGCTGTCTCCATGCCGGTTAGCTGCCCAGCTCAGTAAATCCTCTCTTTTCTTCCGTGTGGTAATTCTGTCCATGTGCCCTGCATGAATTATTGTAATGGTATTAACTGTTCCACCGGTAAAGCTCTGTTTGTAACTCTGCCCTGTCGAGATCAGCTTCACCAAAGCTGCCAGTTAAAGAGTGTCATTGATGAGTGTCACTAGTTTTGAATTAGAAGGAAAAATTCAGAACGTGTTACTGTCTTTGTATTAAAAATAGTCAATTTTAAAAAATAAGTTTGAACGTGTTTTGCTGAGAGATTAAAGAATGAACGTGAGCATTCTTTGTGCAGGTGCCCTCAAGCCCTGTACTTGTTCCTTGCTTGTCCTTTTCCAGTCAGGTACAGATCTTCTGCTTTATTTTTTTGCTTTTTAAAAAAAAAATTTTCCCCTCTAATCTGACCATTTTGGTTTCTTCGACTTAAGTTGTTGTAACCACTGGAGTTTCATTGTTTCTCCATTAATTTCTTTTACAGAAAGGGACTCCAGGTGCTCTCTTCCCCTCCCCACTAATTGAAGTAGCTGTCCCTGTAGCCTGTGGCTCTTTACTGCTACTCAGTATTGGTCTCATATTCATGATTCTCACTGCAAGGAAGAGGCGCCAATCAGAGGGAACCTACAGTCCAAGTCAGCAAGAAGTGGCAGGAGCTCGGTTGGAGATGGACAGT